ACCTTCAATACCGCCATTCCGAATTCCGGGTCCAGGATGGAAGGCTGCAGGGAACGGATACAGCATGGAATAGGCCGCGGCCAGATTGATAACAGGCGTTTTCAGTGACCGGAAATCGGTACTTGGGAGCTACAAGTGCAATGTGTAAGCAAATCCTCCATGGCAACTGATCGTTGCTGTTGCTACTGTGCTAGGTATTTATTTAGATTCAGTATCTTCTCAAGAGGTTAAAATTGCTGTGCAGTTTAGCCCCCAGTTACCCCCCATTTCCCCTTTAGACCATTGATATGTCTGGGATTGCTCTGGGGGGCCGAAACTACTGTGCAATGGTTGTGACTTCTTTTAATGAAACTGAGTCTCGAGTGAACACTCAGGTACCAATCCTTGACCGCGCTTAGTGAATGAAGCCGATACAGTCAATCACCAGTACGAGGTGGGTAAGGATGAGCTCATCTTAAGATACGAAATACCATCGGAATAAGTTGACGACTGGATTGTGGAATTGAATTATCGAGAGCTTGGTCGCCTGGAATACGGCTTGTGCCCGAGTAGCGCAACTTTGAGAATTACGCAGAGCAAAATGAGTATATATTGAGCCGACTGACGCAATCCTTGGTTATCCTTGTACCCATGCTGAGCCATATCTTTGAGAAATACCCATCCCTGGATTAATGGCGCAACTCAACAGTAGAGAGGAGAGGAGCATCACGTTGCCGATCACACTGGCCAGTGCTGGATGAAGAACGGAAAACCAGTGCCAATGGTAACTTTCCGCAGCCTTGATATCGTGCTATGGCCTTTCAATCGCAGCGACTGCTGCCGCGCATTTCACAGCGCCACCGGCGATCAGTCCAGAGTCCTGCTGGCACAGAAGGTATCGAACGCCCAGTGTATTGATGGCCCAGTCTTGAATCTCGGGCTGGTCGTAGATGCCTGCCAGCCCCATAATCTTCCCGTGCTTCTTGCAGGCGGCGCTGACTTTCTCGAGCGCCGAGCGGAACCTCTCTGATGTGAAGGCACTTGGCACACCCAGCTCAATAGACAGATCATTGGAGCCAATGAGCAATACATCAACCCCCTCCACTGCTGCAATTTCATCGATGTGGTCAATTGACTCCTTATTCTCAATCATGAGGAACACTGATGAGCCCGAGATGTTGCTCTCTTGGATCACCGTCGCTGCTGGCGTAGGTTTTAGGGAGAAGGCTGGGAGTTGTCCCGTCATAGACCGACATCCAATCGGGGGGTACTTGGAAATGGCAACGGCCGCCTTGGCCTCAGCTGCACAATATTGCGAGGCATCTAGTCAGCTGGTAAATCTAGGCCTAGTCTCGTTGGCACGGCTTACCAGCACTCTGGATATGTGGGAAGATGACGCCCATGGCACCCCCATCTAGAACTCTTTGAACAAAGCCATTACCGCATTGATGGGGGACCCGGACAAATGGGGTGATCCCGGCATGCAATCCGGCCATGCTCAGTCTGCTTGCATCATCTATGCTGAGAGTAGAATGTTCGAGCTCGATGAACAGACTGTCGAAGCCAGCATTCTGTGCTAGCTGTACGATCTGGGTGTTGGTTGCCAGTCGAATTCCGAAAGCCTTTCCCGGCAATTAGTAATTGTTGGAGACAAGTGAGTTATAATGCGAGAAAACGACTGGACATCTGATATTTGATGTGGCCTACCTTGCAGAGTCGCCCTTTGGTGACTTGGCTCAAAAGTCTGTTCACGTAGGCAGGCATTGCGTGCTGGAAACTCGTTCACGGTTTAGCTTGAAAACGACTTCCTACAGGTAGAAGTTCAACTATTTTATCTGTCATCGAAAGCACCTTTGAAAACACCTAAATTCCATGCCGAGCTCGGATGCAAATCTGAGACCTGACAGTACTCGGAGGCCCGCACCGAAGAAGGCCCAAGCATTGACTCGAATTGATAAGGAGCAGCTCGGCCACCACCCCCGAGTGGGGTTTAGGCTTCCACGATACCTGTATGTTTTGTGTATTGCCAGTGTTATTAAGAGTGAACTCTCGGAATTTTATCACTTCGATACACACAACCTCGTCCAAAAGCTCCTACGTAACATCTACGGTAACACCGTCCATCAGTTCGCCCAGGTGATTATGCACTCCCTGGAGGAAGAGAAGCCAGAGCAAAAATAGGGATATTTGCCGAGTAACATTCCACACTCTCGTCAGGTGATGATAGCGATTACAAGGCGCTTACATGTCTGTATACCCTAAAAGGCATCAGTTTTTCTATCTTGCCACGCTGAAAGAACACAATAATAAGAACAATGCTTGCTATGCGATTCCTACTACCTTAACTCCAACTCACTAACCAAAGAAGGGCAATCGGAGGGAAACATTCTCTTCCCCAGGCCAGCCAACTTTTGCCGCATGTTTTCCACGAAGTTCTTGACGAGGGTTCCTTTTGGATGTATAGAAAACACTTCGTAAAAGGCGCCCGCCTCTGCTGATGAGAGGTCGCCATCAATCTCTTCTAGGTACGTGAGTGCAACGATTGAGGGGAACACGGCGCCGTGTGTACCATATATCCCGACGTCAGGGTGCAGGAAGGTAGGGACCATCTCGGCAATCTTCCGGCAAAAGAACCGCACCGGGTCCATCGAGTCGAAAGGAGTAGGCGGGCCGCATGTGGCAGATGCCGCAGCTAGTACGGCGTGTAAGTAGATGCCGATGGCGAAGTAGCCGGACATGATGTGTGCTGCAATGAAGTGATCGAAGACGGTGGCTGCTTGAGCCGTTGCTGGAGCGAGGGGGCTTGTTGTCGGTGCTCTTTCTTGTCCCCAAGCATTCCAGTCGTTCAGCAGCCACGAACACTTCTGGACGAGGTCGAATCGTTTGGTTTCTTTGTCAGGCCCGGGGTGGGACGCAATGAGTTGGTCCAATTGTGCAAGGAGACCGGGGACTTCGGCGAAGATATCTCCCAGCAAGTCTTTCGCTGTCTTGGGAATGGACTTCCATGGAATGGTTCTCCATTCGGGTGAATTCAAGGGTGAGGGAGTGCGGATGGGTATCGATGATGAGATCTAGAACGAAAACAACGGCGGGTCAGTCTATCAACTCGAAGACATTGAGGGAGACACCACAGTACATAAGTCCATGTTCGACCATCTACGAACATTTGGTGTGCAAAACCTGTTGTGAAGCTCTCCGGGCCGCGGGAGAGAATGAATCCCAACTCGCCGTCGGTGTGTAACTTCCAGTTTACCACCTGAACCAACCGGTCCTTTTGATCGTGGCCATGGAGGAGCTACTTGCTTAATCAGCACTGAAAACAATGGCGTCTGTATGGGGTCCCGAGTCTCACTTCGTATACGGACAGAAGCCTCGAAGTGGCAAGAGCATTGCTTTCCACCTGTGGTATGTTTTGTTTGATCTGTTCGGCCAAGGTATTCAGACAGCTACCGTACAGCTTGATTCCGTTCTCGACCATCCACGGCTTTTGATCTCGACGACCAACGCTAGAAAGAGAAATAGCGAGGAGGATCCTCCTAATCGCCGTCTCCTCCCTGCTCTGGAACAGTCTGTGCAGCTCATTCATCCAAAAGCCCGTGTTGAACTGCGCAGATTCCACGGGGAAGCTGCGGCCATTTGGTAGATAAAAGTCCCAAAATATACCCAAGTACCTTTCATGATACGCGGAGCGGGCGAGTGGCTCAGCAAGAGTGATGGTGGTAGCCGTGCCCCTGGTTGGACGTTTGCCGCTTACAACCGAATCCGGGGTCAAGTTTACCCACGGGACACCTTGCCTATACGTACATTGCTGTGCAAGTGACTGTTTGAGCTTCTGGCATTGCCCACAAATTGGGCGCTGCAGGTCGCACTGTGGCCTTGTTAGAGCAAAGGAAACGAATCTAACATATCAATGTTTACGGGAGAGCTACTACGTACTCCTTTCTTTCGGCGGCGACATGTGTTGCATCCCTTTGAAGGTTTCCCAGCCATGGAGTCAGCGTAGTAGCCTGGATGAGGTAGTCAAGTACCTGTGCTAGTCAGGCACAGATCGTCAATCTCCCTCAATTCGTCTCCAGCTCGCACCACTTGCCTTCTTGGGGGCTTGGGAAGCGGGGAATTCAATTGGCTACCAGGACGTCGAGTGTTGACAATAGAGGGTCATCCAGGTCGGCGAACACGGGTCGATCAAGTCCTTGTACCTTGCAGAGGATAGTTCCTGTAGGTGAAGTTGCTGACAGTGGCTAATGACTGGATACGTGTTGTGGTCTGAGGGGCGGGGAAAGGGGTCAAGTGGAGTTTCGTGAATGTACGTCAGATTTATTATCACAGCCGCCAAGCTCCCAATTGGGAATGAAACGCGCCCGGCGAATCAGGACGAAGTATTAGTCGTCCATCCAAGAGGCCTGTCCTATTATAGAATAGCTCGTTCGGAAGATGAGACCAACGTTAATGTTGGTATTTTTACCAACAGTATCACAGATCTTTGAATAACTTGACTAGGAGGCAAGTCAATCTAGATCGACTTTGTCAGGCTTATGTTCCGGCCTTCGGGATTGCAAGATACCTATCCAATCGGAGTTCTACTCTAGTGACTCTGTGTCATCGCCTGGTAGTGGCATCTACTTCTATGACATCGCGATGGCCATGTGCAACGTAGTCGATGATGAGCACATCTGATCTGTGAAGGATCTGTGAAGGACCAGTGAAGCGGATTGGTTCATTTGGGCTGGCACAGATATCGCGCTGCTCAAAACCATACGCCAAGTGATTCTGTCTGCTCAAGTTTCATAGTTTCTAAAATAAATCAAAGACACACACATCTCTTTTTGTTATCAGAAGTTATTGGGCTTCTTTGATCTTGTGATGTTGATTCAGATTTTGCTGGCTCAAGGGGAGTCCTCCTGTCTAAGCCTCTTCTGGACACACCCCTGGTTGGCTATGAAATCTAAATTCTGTTTGGTAGACGCTAAGAAATAGGCATTTTGATTTGGTGACACTTTCGATTTGCTCCCATGTAAGTTCTACATAGCCAGTACTCGTACTAGGCGGGCAGAGGTACGACGAGGACTGGCCTGAATCATGGGCGCGTAGCGAGCCTGGTGACCTATCTCGCTGCTCGCTGTTGAGAGCAAACTTCTACTTCCCTCTCCTGTAATGTCTCCCCTTGCTTGTCCCTCCTCTGCTGGTATCGCCTCTATTGCCTCTGTTGCGATGGTGAGCTTACAGGTCACGCTTCCCCTTATGACCTGAATGTTTACCACCTCCGTGGCCGTGAGCGCCTCTTCCTCGAGCTTCAAGGTCGCGTTTCCCCTTATGACCTGAATGTTTACCACCTCCGTGGCCATGGGCGCCTCTTCCTCGAGCTTCAAGGTCACGCTTCCCCTTATGACCCGAATGTTTACCACCTCCGTGGCCATGGGCGCCTCTTCCTCGAGCTTCAAGGTCACGCTTCCCCTTATGACCCGAATGTTTACCACCTCCGTGGCCATGGGCGCCTCTTCCTCGAGCTTCAAGGTCGCGTTTCCCCTTATGACCTGAATGTTTGCCGCCTCCATGGGTGTGGGAGCCTCTTCCTCGAGTTTCAAGCTCAGGTTCGCCCGTGGAGAGGTCGCGTTTCCCCTTATGACCCGAATGCTTGCCACCTCCGTGGGTGTGGGAGCCTCTTCCACGAGCCTCAAGTTCAGGTTCGCCCGTGGAGAGGTCGCGTTTCCCCTTATGACCCGAATGTCCGCCGCCTCCGTGGGTGTGGGAGCCTCTTCCTCGAGCGAAAAGCTCGGGTTCGCTCGTGGAGAGGTCGCGGCCATCAAGCTCAGGCTCTTGAGCAGTGACACCTAAGGTCGCAAAGCCTAGGATAGTGGCTGGGAGGAGAAGGCTGTCGAAACGCATCTTGGTCGTGGTAGGAAGATTGTTGGATAAGATGAAATACAGTGGAAGAAGGTAATACTATAAGAAGCAGGAAGATCGAGTATCAAAATACACTTGGTGATATACTGCAGAGGGTGGTGTTTAGGTGAAGTAGTTGCTGGATGTAATTCTAAGTTGCTAATAAGAACTTACTAGATACGCGTAGTAGACCTCACCATCTTATACTTCTGAGATTCACACCTAGTGGAGGATAATATTTCTATTCTTACTCTTCATGCTATTCCATGTTGTCTTGAATAAATTATGATATTAGCGGCCTAGTCTTACTGCCTGCTCAGCGGATTGTGTATGCAACTATGAATAGATTTCAAGAATCCCTTGACTGCCGGATGTGTTTAATCAGGACTGTAAACCCCCGCTGGGGGACTCGCCACTACGGCTACGAGTAGTTTGACATCCTAGATGAGGGTTAACTAATACCATCTAGATACATCCTGAAATGGCAATCGCCATTCACCAGCTGACCAGGCGCCACGGGTACCGCGTGGCTGTGTATTATTTGCCGCTTGCTTCTTTTTAGCCGGTAGTACTGTAATATCTCAAATTGTTCGCCAAGATCTGGCCACTATTGTTAGATAAAACACCTTGCCTTCACTTTTCCTAGGCCTTCTACCGGTCCCCCTATAGAGATAAGTAGAGGAAACAGAGACATACATCTAGGCGAATAATTTGAAATAACATAGTATATTAGGTTCAGGGGGTGTTTCATGCATATTCCTCCTCATAGATCCTGAGGACAACCAAGGCCCCTTGCTTAGGTTACATCAATCTAGAATCTCCATCCTACAGAGTTTCACTGTCGACAGAACTCCCTTGGCATAGTAATAAAGCCTTATTTGGCTATTGCCGAATAGTAAATAATTCCATTATAGTTGGATGAGTATCAGGGCAGTGGGCATAAAGGTCACAACCGGGGACAGCTGCCACAAATTGGTATGTATCTATCAGGGGTCAGAGGAGACGGGTTTAGGAATTACTCGTTTGGATTGAATAGTTAGCTAAAAGGGGGGTTGCATTCCACTAGTTTCGACAATAGCCTCCCCGTAACGGGCAGTCATAATTTCCGGTTGCTCTTCAAGAGAGCTTTTAGGAATAGCATCCTGGGCAGCTTTGCTGTTGAAATTAAGCCGGTAAATGAGTTATGAATGTGATCGGGCCTTATGTATATATAGAAAAGAGCACTCTCGGCACTGTCCCTTAGAAGAAATAAGTCTTATGGCAGACGAAGCTGGCATTAGATATATGGAATATGATATACTTCTAATGAATCCCCCTGCGTGCTCAAGTACTTGTCATCAGCGGATCTTGTCAGGCTCCAGCTATCTTTATCGGCTTGAATAACCAGACGCATCAAGTTGGACTCCGTGCTGAAGGCTACGATCCAGAGGTGTTCTAATGTCAATACTGGACAGATTCATCAACTGCAAGAGTATCACGCTTTCTATGTTATTCGGTGCATTCGAATCCAAGACATCGCCAAACTCAAGGCCGTGGATGTGCACTTGTAAGTTGGCTCTCGCTTCTGACCAAATGGCTTTAAAGGTGGTGGATCAATTGCACCACGCGCAGATGACAGTATATTGGGTGACACATCCTGAAACAATTAACATATTGATAGGGAGAACAGGGAGAATAACGGAAACGTTATTCTCCAAGGCGATATACGAATATACGTTACCGCTACGGTATGAAAAATCAGTTGGGTGACCTACTAGTATGCTGCTTCGGTTCGTATTTAGTTCTAATAGGTGCATAAGAATTTAGGTCTATCTTCTATATATTCATGACGCCCAGGACCAAGGCTAGAGATAACAAAATGGTAGACCGGCGAGCCTGGAGCACATAGCTACCACTGTCACTGTCATCCTCTGTCTTGAAATCGCTCGTATCACCCCCGAGATATTTCTCGCCAAGGCCAGTTAAATCACCATTATTTTCCAACAGACTAACTCCATCCCCAGTCCACTCATTGGCGTTCTTCTTCCGAAATGCGCCAAACCATGAGTAGCCAGCGATGTAATCCAACCCGTCGAGGTAACTCATGGCCTGTTCGAGCATTGAGATATTATCATCCTCCACTCCCTGCGGCAGCGCCATTTCGGTAATCAGTATTGAAGTATTTAGAAATTCGCTTGAATTGTAGAACCCTCGCAGGGTGCCCAACCATGAGGCTAAGCCAGTAAAATCACCAAACCAATGCACGGCAATAAAATCAGCGGGACAGCCGTTCCCTGGGTCTATCTCATAACAAGATTCGTTGAAATCTCGCAACCAGTTGAGGCCGCGCTCCGAACCTGTCACTACCGGATGGCTTATCTGCCAGCTCCGTGATGAGTTGCGATGGGGGACAATATCCTCGATATATGCTTTTGCCGCGTCCTCTGGGGAGATGTAGCTCCCACCATTCTCCTCCGCTTCGTCGGGCTCGTTGAACGTTAACATGTATTGCGAGGAAGATGGCAAGCCGTCGAGTGAAGACCAAATATCTCTCTCGCCCAGGGTCTCAAGGCTATGTATAAGCGGAATGAAAAGGGTCGAATTTCCAATAATATTGGACGGGGTAGGTGACCAATTGTAGTACCATGAGATTGGTGATTTTTCGGACGTAAGAAGCTTAATGTCGGAATCCTCAAGCTGCCCAACCAAAGCCAAGCCTTTCTTAGATTCTAGATGCACGAGCGCCATAGTCCACCCACAGAGGCGACCGAGTAGGCTCATGAAGCAAATACCACGGCATCTCATCTTGCAATCCCAAGTCCAAATTTAGCCTGTTGGAAATTATCTTCAGGGACATTCGAGTCGATAAGGTAGTCAGACGTTTAGACGATGGACGGCCGATGATGCCAATGATTCAAACTTTACCTAGCGAGCATGTATTAATAGGAGTGGCGGTATGCTTGTATGTGCTTCCCCTCGCTTGGCATGCGTATTTGAGGGTTGGCCAAGCCAAGCCAAGTTGCCTTCCCGCCATGCTTAATCTGATTTCTAACCCTGATTTGCTCTGGTCCAAAGCTATGACACGTATGAATGCCAGGGCCTGGTCTGTCGAGCTTGTCGCTGCCCAAGCCAATCCGTCAGTCATGACCAGGTTTTTGCTGGTGGAGGTGATGATGTCACTTTTCTTGGCGCGGTGACGGCATCATCTGATGGCCTTTGCCGAATCTTGACTCAGTCACGATTTCGTTGGAAAGATTGCATCAAAGATTTCACCATAATATCAACACCGGCAATCAAAGATAGCACAAGCAGATCGTATAGATTGTTCTCCTCTATTATCAGCTACGCTACCAGCCCTCAAGATCGGTGCAAGAGGCCAAGTTCAGCAGCCAGTGGAAACAGCGGAGCATTTGATTACCCGAAAGATGTCTGTCATTAGGTAATAAGCGGACGTTCGTCGTCATAAGAGAAGTACATGCAACTTCGGAATGTTTACCAACTAATTTATTGGAGTCTCATTGTTCTTCTTCTATTTATCTACAGCATCCTTTTCCAGCATTGCGGCTTCTCTAGTTCTCCACTGAAATGCTATCGGCTCCTCTTGTGCCGGCCAATAAAGAATATCACAGCTATCGTGCTTCCCCCTAGCAGGGAATAATCACGCGAGGCTGGTAAGAAAATGGATCGATCGTGTCTATTTTTATGAGCACATAATTGATCGCATTCACAACTTCCTCTAACGGTGCTAAACCACATGCTACTTCCACGTTCTTGTTAAGGGTCGCCGTTGTCTGAAACAACACGTGCTTGCGATACCGGTTTGATAGGGTAGGTTTGTCACGGAGAAGCTCTCGTATTCGATGAAACGGCCCATGTCTTGAGCTGTCCTGAAGGATTCATTTATCGGCACTAGGTCGGCACGCAAAGATCCATACCGGGACTCGGGGATTCAAAAGAATAGAACATTTAAACACCTGCAGAGGAACCTGTTACAAAACCTAGCGTAAGGTGTAAGGTGAAGGTTTATAAGGTGCGAACTTATAAGTCGTATCTGCTATTTGCAAGGGGTGTGCAAAAATCCTCGATTACGCAATGCCGGGACAACTACCGAAGTAGGTCCTTGACGATTTTAACCCGAAATTATACCCCTTTCCAATGTGTGGATCCTTGAGTGCACATGCCAAAGAGGAAAAGCGGTGGCCATCTCACGAGCTGAAACCTGCATCGAGCTAAGGCTCTAATTACCAATATATTGAGCTGTGCAGGCTGAACGCTACTCATAGCTTTCCATGAATATCGATTTTGGTAAGCTCTACCAATGAAATTGAAGTCTGTACCGATCATCTTCCTTTAGATGAAACTCTGGCCGATGAATTTATCCTAAAGTCTCCATTTACTATATCAAGGCACCCCATGCGCTTACTGTGCCCAGAAGCTTGATAACTCCCTCGAACATAACATCAGCTTCAAGCTACCGGATGATCAAGGGCTCCCTAGGCCTCGGCAAGCATGGTACTCTCCAAGACCCGCTCATATCAGCGGCAGACCCATCCCAAGAGAATGGCGAGATGCAAGGATGTGGGTCTCATGTCGTCCAAAGCAATACTCCGTGTCTATTATATCAGGCGATCCATAAATATCTTGATATCCCAGCTCCAGGGTCCTTGAGCGTTCATATCATTGACCAGCAACTTCAACTTCAAGGTTATTCCCAATTACTGACTTCCCGCCATGGCTGCCTCTGATCGAGCCAAAAAGATTCATGCCCTTGTGCAGGAGATGAAACTGGAGCATATTCTAGCTGCACCCCAAGATGTCGATTCCATCAAAATCGAAAACTGTGTAGGATTTACCAAAGTTCCGCTGGGAATCGCCGGACCACTGAGAGTATCCGGAACCGGCGTAGATGGAACACTTTACGCTCCGCTAGCAACTCAAGAGGCAACCTTGGTGGCCAGCTGCTCTCGCGGGTGCAAGGCGCTAAGTGTTGCGGGTGTTCGTTTCGAGGTACTTTCCCAAGGCATGAGTCGAGCTCCCGTCTTCATATTCGACAGTCCGGAGGGTGCTGTTTTGTTTGCTCGTGGATTACCAGAGATACTGGACGAATTTGGCCAGTGGGCAGCCTCAACGGGGAGATTTGTGCGCCTCCAAAGTACCAAGATTCACATTCTGGGCTCTCAAGTCCACTTGCATTGCAATTTCCACTGCGGAGCTGCTGCTGGCCAGAACATGGTAACCAAAGCGGTGAACCATGCTTGTCATCAACTTTTGAACTCCTACGGGTCCAAGTATGGGATCAAAGACTGGTTCGTTGATGGCCAGATGTCATCAGACAAGAAGCCTTCATGGGGAAATGTGAAGACTGCACGAGGTGTGGAAGTCATGGCTTGGGGCTCTCTGGACAACGAGAAGAGCGTCGAAATTCTCGGATGCACTACCGAGCGTCTTTACCAATTCCTTACAACTATCACTAACGCGGGAATCCGAAATGGCCAATTTGGATCAAACGCCAACACAGCAAATGTTTTGGCTGCTATGTTTATTGCCACCGGGCAGGATGCGGCCAGTCTAGGAGAAGCATCATGGAGCCAATTGACCCCAGAATATAACCAGGTGACCAAGGTGTTGACTTTGAGTCTTTACTTTCCATCCTTGCCAGTTGCTACTATTGGCGGTGGTACCGGGAACGCGACTCAAAAGGAGGCTTTGCGAATCCTACATTGTGATGGGGCCGAACACAAGGAGAAGTTGGCTGGCCTTGTGGCCTCGTTTGCACTCGCGTTGGAGATCAGTACAGTTGCAGCCATTTCAAATGGTACTTTTTCTGATAGCCATATGAGGCTTGCACGTGGTGAGATTATTCCTAAACTCTAAATGTCTATATTTCATAACATAATTAGTGTTATCCATGTTTTCTCTCACTTGATCATTCTATTGATGCAGGATTTTGGAAGTCAGGGTAATCAGATATTTCACTTCAATCAGCCAGCGAACACAACTCTCTGATATCATAATACACTTTTTAAATGGACTACTTACTGTTATGTGAGACGCTAGCTGGAAAACAAGAAAAGTGTAGAATATCACGCCTACTCTACCGGATGGACTGTTTCACTTTGACTTCTGACCTCATCTATGATCTCCATCACACGCATAGTCTCAGACAGTGGCATAATGGTGGAGTCTTCCTTCCAGCTGCAAGATCAAACGCAGTTTTATCAGCTTCGTGAATAGAGCACTGCTGCGGCCTTGAGTAATCGTACTTCTTCCCTTTCTCATTATCCGAACCCCACTTGGGATACTGAAGAGAGTTCGAGTATAAAGTTAAACAACAATGGAAGATGCCAGGCCCAACATCTTAACACAATGAGTTCTATCTTTTATATTTCAATGAATAACATATTCATGTGCAAAATAAAGACGCCGTGAATTTGAAGGCGTCGAAGCAGAACGCGGCCTTTTTCTTGTCGGAAGGCATTTACACAAGCATCGGCGTTTCTACAATTGCGGGGATCGGCACCGGAGGACGGTTTGATAATGACTCAGTCCGAGCTTTTTACACAGAGATGCATTGTCAGTGGCCTGATGGCCTTTACCTCGTCTCGAGGTTTTGTCACCGTTTGTCATGGTGTGGAGGAAGGATTGCATGAGGCCCCCACTGATATTTCGGCACTACGTATTAGCTGCTGCATCCGTTGTATCAGATATCTGCATTATCGTCGACGGTGATGCGTAGCGCGCCCCCATGTCAAATCATATGATGTTTGGGTGGAAGAGAGAAGGGGGGGGGTGAAAGAATACTAGATCCAATGACTGAGATACGCCGTGCTATCTGCCTGACTATGTGCCCTTGATGCTGCTGAAAAGATCGTCTCCATGCGCCCGCTTGTCCTAATTGCTAAACATGTCCTAAACGCGAAGCCGTTCAAATGCAATATGCACTTGAACAGCGAAATACCAAGGAATCAAAGAACTCCAGATCTACCAGGTGGCGAGAGGCCGCCGGATCGCAAGACATTGTCTAAACCTGTTTCTTAGAAGAAAGGTTGCCGTGTCTTCCCACTGATAAAACTAGATGCGTTGTTGAGATAGAGCTTCCGACCTTTGAGAAAGCTCACAATGAATCCAAAAATTTTCCAGTTTCCAAACTGGCCCGTGGCTAGATGCCGCCCGAGTGCTATGAAAAGAGGAGACCTGGCGGCAGGCGTATACACCTCAGATATTTCTCCTACAGGCTTCCCTTCTACTAAAACACTCTGAAGCACTCGAGTTAAGAACTCGACTTGGGCTAGGACACTGCCGAGTTGCTTTGGCTCGACGTTGCCAACATCTCCAACGCCCCAGATATTTGTCGTGCCCACAACACGCAGTGTCGAATCCAATTTGAGATTCCCCTCCCAGTCCATGAGCTCATCAGGAATGAACGCATTGTTCACCACCACTCCGTACAGTGGAAGGAACAAGTCTGCGGTCAGGGTCCCGCCCTTGGATAGATGGATTGTGTGACTGTCATCATCCGCCGACTGTGTCGCCCGATTCTTGTAAATCATCTTCACACCCAGTCTCTCCAAATCCCGCTCTGCGGTTTGAGATACCGATGGCAGCCGGCCATACAATAAAGACTCGCTGTTTTCCACCAGGGTTATCTCCTTAGTGCGGCCGAACTTGGATGCCAACTCCCCAGCCACCTCGACGCCCGTCGGGCCGCCTCCAGCGATGACAATCGTGCCCGCAGCATCAACCTTATCCTGCAGTCCATGCCAGGCTTCAAGATGATCCTCATATGACCCAACTGACTTGAACGGCAGATTGCTGACGATCCGAGAACCAGTGGCGATTATGAGATGGTCATAGACCACCTCCCGAAGAGTGTCGACCCGCGTTAGCACATCGCCCTGTTTCTGATTGAGCTGGATCTGCACGGTGTTGCTAGCGGGCCCGATTGAGCTCGCGGCACCTAGAATGAATTCAAATTGCTCGTGGTGTTGGTAATGGTCGAATGCTGGGAGAATGGGCGAGAAGAGCTGGCTGTCGCTGAGTTCGCCCGATATGACACCCCGAGGGGCAGCAATGTTCCAGAAGAAGTGGCTATTTGGAGAGACGAGAATCACCTTTGTCCCGGGGACCTTTGGTGCAACATTTCGGAGGAGCTGGTGAGCCAAGCTTAACCCCGCCCAGCCTGCTCCCAGGATGACAACGGTTTTCGATTCCATTACCAGGCTGTTCTTGCAGATTAGGAAGCTTCTTCGAACACCCGAGTCACGAAACCTGGATTAAGAAATAACAGTTACAGAAGATCACAGCGATTCATGAAGCGGAGCGAAGCTGAACAGCCGGCAGGCCAAAGTCGGCACCAGGGGTCCCTCTAGGATGCGTAAGACGGGCGGCTGATTGGCAGGGCTGGGCCGAGAGAGCTCAGCTGAACGCCTCAACTGCGCTCCTTCAGGTAGGTGGAATCATTAATGGCTCCTGATCTGACGCATCACGGGCCGCACTCTCTGCCGGCCAATCATGGCGTGCAGACTAAAGCAATGCAACGCGCGCAATGGAACTGAGGGATATCCACCGCACCCCTAATATTCCCTCAGGGTTTCAGACAGACAGCAAAAATAAGAGAGAGCCATATGCCGACGGGCGCGCACGCAAATCCTGTCCCAGCCCCCATGTGCCACTGAGGGATTGCGGGAACCGCCTGTCAGAATTCCATCCAAGGACCCCTCACTCTCGTTGCGCAATGGCACACCGAAAGAGCTCGCACTAAGAGCGAATGGAGGAATACGCTTTCTCTAGTGGAAGAAGTTATCCACAGTCTCCCCCTGCTTGCAGATGGAGGCCAATCGCATCCGTCTCTGAGTTGGCCCCAGTACGTCCATTCCATGACCGTGCCAAAGCACATTGGATGCCAAGTTGTATAGTTCGCCAGGTGAGGCGATGGTTTATGAAGATCAACTAACTACTTTTGGGAGGGAGGATAGAGACGTTATAATACGGGTTACTACCGTTGGATAGCCTCTTGCTTTTGCGCATGTGAATTGACTGTCGCTTCCTCCTTGGTTTGGGGGCTCAATGCATCGTCCATATTACAGGCGCTGCGACCCGGTGATGCTACATAAGGATGCTACATCTTGCGCCACTGTCGAGCATACATATTTTGCCACGAGTCTGTGAGCCTCGAACCGGTCCCGTCTGACAGAGAATCAATCCCTTAGGCGGAGGCTACGGCTCGTAAGAAGTCAGAAATACGACATTCGTACCAGCCTTCCTCTCCCACCGCACCTATGATTTGATCCTAAGAACAGCCTTGCCAAAGTTCTCTCCCTTGAAGATTCCAACCAGGCCTTCCGGTGCGTTGTCAATTCCTAAAGTGAAGTTTGGCCTTGACACTACCTTCAGCCAGCCACTGCTGGAACTTTTCCTGATGCTCCTTGAAGTAGGCCGGTCCAAACTTTGGGTTAAATACCAGGAAACCTTGCAACGTGAGCTGCTTGGAGATCACATTTCTTAACCCCAAGATCCCGACTCGCTCCTCGATCGGCTTGTTATAATCCCCTATCTGTTTACACCAGTTAGAGGGCACAAAAAAAAGACGCGGTTTGCCAAAAGGTAGGGGAAATAAACGTACCATGCCACAAAATGGTATTCTTCCCTCAGTGTTTAGGTGAGCGAGGGCAGCTTCCAGGTGGTCACCGCCGACATTTTCAAAATATATGTCAATTCCGTTCGGTGCAAGGCGGGCCAAGGCATCCATTGGGCTCTCCTTCTTGTAATTGAATCCAGAGTCAAACCCAAGCTCCTTGGTAATGAACTCCAGCTTCTCATCGGAGCCAACAGAACCAATCACCGTCAACCCTTCCCTCTTCGCAATCTGGCCAACAACCTGACCAACGGCACCAGCCGCCGAGCTGACGAATATCGTCTCCCCCTTCTGCGGCTGCCCAATCCGATAAAGAGCTGACCAGGCTGTTAGGCCGGGCATCCCAAGCGGTCCAAGAAACAGGCCAAGCTCCAGATTGTGCGGATTGTTGATTTTGCGGGCATTCACGAGTAAATCCTTAGTTGCGCGGACATATTCCGCGATAGGAAAACTGGCATAAATGATGCTGCCTTCCTCAAACTCCGCATGGTCGCTTTTCAGAACCCTGGAAATAGTGGCCTCGGGGACAGGTTTGTTCAACTCGAATGCAGGGGCGTAGTGTTTGACGCTCGGATCGCGCATCCTGCCGCGCAGGTACGGATCGAATGAGGCGTATAGGACCTCAGCGACGAGCCCGCCCTCTGGAGGGCCCTCGTTCAGGTCGATCGGGTGGTCCTCGACTACCAAGTGCTCCCCTGCAACAAGAATCGTAGTCGGGATCTTTTTGTAGATGAGTGTCTTGTTCTGCGTCATTTTGGCTGTATTCTGCGCGCACTAGTCGCCTCAGATCCTTTGCTGTTTCTTTTCTGTTACAGAAAAAGATGTCTTTCTCGAGAAAGAGTATCAAGCAATTGGGGGAATCTGTGATGTTGGGCTGTTTAAATTCGCGGCAAAGCCAAAGGATTTGAGGAGGCGGCTACACCCCGCCTCCAGCAGGATCGGATTCCGAGGTATGATGATGCAATTCTTGATTTATAAGCAGATTTTGCGTAACAGTTACACAAAGTTGAAGCCTTCATTTCAGTTGTGGCATTGGTGAGGGCTCCGAGCATAATGACTGAATTTCGTATCTGGTCGGAATTCAGGATGTTTTGTCCAGGGAGCAAGGGAGCGTTTTTCCTTCTCATCCTTATTGTCGCTAGAAATACCTGTTCGTGTTACACTCTTTCAATCTCACGCTACAGTTTCCCTAGGTGAACAGCTCTTGGGAGTGACTTAGAATAAACAGCTTTTGTTAGATGTCAGCTAGAATCTATCTCGGTCGGGCTAATTTGGTGGCTTACCCATTACACCAATCTTCGATCATGCCGCATGACTACCCGGCGGTTCATGCCTATATTGCTCCACGTAACGAGGTGGAATTAAATGAACACGCTACTGCATATTGTTCGGGGAGCTGATAATCTCTTTGCCTCTGGCAGTGGTCATTCACGTTTGGTGAGCAGTATTGTTTAGGATCATGCCTGGGCGGGCGGGAGAGGGGGGTCGTCAGATTTACATTGTGCCAGCTAGGATGAAAGAAAGGTTTAAAGCTATACTTCCCCGGTTATGTCTACTGCATTGATAGGAAATTACCCCGAATGGGAATCTCTCGGGCAGACTCCAAGGTGAGATGCAGTGTGGAGAACTTCCAAGGGCTCTGAATAGCTAGCGGGAAGTGAGGAAAAGATCTTCACAGTGTGAATTACAGAGTGACCAAAGTCAGACACCACCCCCTTTCGCTTTTTCTGACACTTCAAGTATTTATTGGGGTCAGCCTCTTCTCCGACATTCTTTTTCCTTTCCCTTTTCCTCAAAATTCTTTTCTATCACCAATCCAGATACTGGATTCGCTCTCTCAAAGCTGCTCTCCTACAATATACCCCTTCATTCCTCTAGTAGGGTCCACGCCTCTCCATTGTATAGGAGAGGCACATTACTCTGCACCCATGGCTACCTCCGGATCTAATTCAACCAAGGCCGTTTCTCAGATCAAGAGATGCTTCTACCGACCGCAGCAGCCAAAGGAGCCTATCCCACCGACAAATTAATCATCCGCATCACCAACAAACCCAGTTTCAGCATCGAGATCGCCAATACATATACAATCAAGACAACTTCCAGGATATATTTGACGATCCAGTAGACTTCTGGGGTCAGAGTAACTTCTGGGCTGGTGGAAATCTGGAAGCTGATAGCAGTGAAGGAGGGATTGACTGGAACTCTGCCAACCTCGATTGTCTCGGCACCCAACTTGTGAGGCCCGAGCCTGTTGATCCAAACTGGGCGACACAAAGCATACAACCATCCGAATTCGAATACCCACATCAAGGATCATCAGGTGATTCTATGACTTTATTTCATGCTATAAATGAACTCAACGCGTCGACTCTGAACGCACCAGTCATGAAAGAGTCCACGCAAGGTATGCCGCTAACTGTCTCAGTTTATACAATCTAAACTAATATTCGTCTTCAAGAGAGCCCTTTTTCTGGCATGGCCGCTATGTCAAGAATGTCATCGAACTCACCTACCCAGGATGCCCCTTCCAACAGTAACATTGGGTCCAGCACTGGCATATCCCCCGTTGACTCCTCCACTGGGTCGGATCAATGTGTCAACAAGGCCTCCACCCGGAAGAGACCTCGGACAAGTGAGCCCCAGGTTGATTCCGATAAAAGCTCCGTTAAACGTCAACGCAACACCATAGCCTCTCGCAAATACCGGCAAAAACGTCTTGATCGCCTTGCTGATCTGGAAACGCGCCTTGATATAATGACATCCGAACGGGACAGCTTGAGAATTAAACTGGCCAGGCGGGAGGCGGAAGTTGATGCGTTGCGAAACATTCTTTCTACGGGCCGTTGAATTATTTTCCGTTTTATCTCTACTTTGTATGATTCAGCAAATTTTGAATGCAGAGGCATATAATTTACACGTTTTGTAAGCCAAAGACAGGGCATTGCTTCCATGATGCGAAATTTGCCCATAGTTTGCCATCGTTTGCTATTGTGCTGCTGGTAACTTGTAAAAAGGACCCATGTTCGAACTCCTAATTCATCATTTACACTTGCTCCGTTCAACAAATATTCCACTGCTAGCGAATAAACTGTCGCCCGCTGTATAGTAAGATGGACTGCCCATGTGGCCTGCATTCAAGTACACAGTGTCAATGAAATCAAGTCTCAGAATTAGACATTATGAGTCATTCTGGCTCAACATGAGGAAGAATGGGCCAATGATCCACACCACCGGGAAAATAAGCCAACATAGGCTAAGATGGGCACGCTTATTATTTTTCAGAGGGCAATCGGTTGGGTTGTCTATACCTATTCTGCTGTGCTGGGGCGATCAGCTAAATGGGGGTTACCCGTCGTTTAGCTGGATTATTCATATTGAATGATTCTCTTGTGTTCTCAAGGTTGCTCTACTTTTTGAATAACAGTATCCAACTCTTCTTTAATGAAAGAGATGCTAGCCAATGACCACTTCTTTGCGCGCTGTGCTATGTAATTCGGTTCCACACTCTCAGCCGGCTCGATTTCGTACGAAAATTCGGCTATTGCCTGTTCCATAGCCCGTAACTCACGAAGGAGAACGGCACGACGCATAATCGCCTGGTCTTCTGGGTCTATATCCAACAATCCGACCTGTACTTTGGTCGGGAGGACATCAAACTCTCCGACCTTGGGAGGCCTGTCCGTCGGGGCATCAGCATTGCTACTATCGCCAGCGCTTTCTCGCCCACCTCCTTCTGGGGAGAGTGATGTCTCGGAAATGATGTGATACCAAAAGAGCATCTTGGATAGGACCGTAACATATAGAAGGATTAGATGGGGGCATTGCGAACAATTGCATCCCATAAGACGTTTCCAACTGTTCAGAGCCAATTTGTTTGTTGCCAGGACACGATCAAAACTCGGCGAAAGGTTCAAGTCATCATAAAGTGTGGTAAGGCAAGATGTTGCTCCTTCAGACATCTCGTTATTCTGGAGTAGGCGGAGGATAGAGACGGCTTGGGCCTCGCAGTCATGTGTACTTTTCCTACTACGGGATTCTGAGGATGGTGCCCTCACCCCTGACGATGTTGTGGTGGAGGACTGGCCTTGGCCTAAACCCGACAATGAATAAGCATCACCTGAAGAAGAGGGCTCAGGTAACGATAAGTCGGCTTCATCCCAGTCAAGCGTTGAGCTCACTCCCATAATAATACTAAGAGATGAGTCGACGGGCCATGAGGGCGAAAGAACTGAGCTGGTAACAGCTCTCTGCTGCTCATTGTGGAATAGGGCAGGATGCGGAGGACTGGTGCTTATAATGGCCGGTTGTTGTGGCAAGGAGAGCAGGGAGCCCCATTCTGATTGTATCAAAGCCGTGGTTGGAGCAATCGGCTTTGTCGTTCCCATGGGATAAATTTCCGGTTCGAGGCTTATCGCCGCCGCCCATGCCCGACGATCAGATGCCAGCTTTCTTCGCCAAGCCTTCTTCCCATGTTTCCGTGATTCGCTGTAGAAACATCTCACCCCCATCTGCACACATCTGTCACAAGATGGATGAGCCTTATCGCATCGAACTTTCGATGTGGAACATGGATCACATGCCGTACGGAAATGGGTAGGCTTCGGCGATCCATCTCTGGGCATATTGAATTGAACTCAAGTAGCAGCCAATCAACATGAACAATTCGATGAAGATGGATGGTTGACCAGTTGAGCTGGTAGTGTGAAAGCAGAAACACCAACACTTGTGACTGTGGCGACCTGCAACAGCTAGTAGCAAGCAATTAGCCAACGACACAACTCCAAACCCAGCGAAATGTTCACTCTTCAAGATCTTTCAATTGTGCCAAGGTTATGATGCTAAAGTCACGTATAAGCACGCTTACCTTACTATCCCCAACGGCTAGTTGTGACCGAGGATCACCCTAATGATCTCATTGAAGAACCGGTATCTGCAAAGATAACTGGATCGATATAATTCCGAATTTCCACCGTTTCAAAGTATCGTTGCAACCATGACAGTGTATGGGCTTGATCATGGATGAGCGGAGGTGAAGAGCTCGGGAACTGAGCGTGATTAATATACCCGAAAGGATACGCGATGCCTGTCAAACGGTCCACTTTTGCTTATGCTTATACGCCGGTAGTGGGGCACGTCTTAAGTCCGAACACACATATGCGTGATGTTTGATATTGATATTGATGCATTACACTGGAGAGAGCAAATGGTGGAAGAAGCAAGATGTTTAGATGGAAGGTATACCTGTGCCTAAAAAGAAATATAGCGTTTGAACCTAGACGACCTCAGGTATTTGACCTCAGCTTCAATTAAAATGCCTCTGTTGCCGCAACTCCCACGTATTTCTTTAACTTACACTCGCCTCCCAACCTTCTCTTCATATCCAGCACGGCAACTCCCATCCATCATAGCACGTAATTTCTATTCATCACCAATCAGCCAGAAATTCCCAACAGATAAAATGTCTATTCAGCAGTATCAGGCGACTAAGAAAGGCGGACCCTTTGCCCTCGTCTCAGCCCCAATGCCGAAGCCCGGCGCCTACGAAATCACTATCCGTCCCAGAGCTGTGTCCCTCAACGCGATTGATTGGAAGAATCTTCAATTTGGCGCGCTTGTAGCGGGTTGGCCCTGTGTTCTTGGCATCGAGGGTTCGGGCACGGTTGAGTCGGTTGGAGAAGGCGTAACATCTTTCAAACCCGGTGACGAAGTCATGAGCTGGATCCAGAGGACTCAGTTCAACGGTGCATTCCAAGAAGTGTACAGTGCCCATGAAAGTGTGGTCGCTAAAAAGCCAGCAAATCTCAGCTTTGAAGAAGCAAGCTCAATCCCGTGAGTGATCAGTCGATGGCGAACCCCGAGAACTTTTGTTATCCAACGCCAGAATCCAGCCTAAGACGATTCAAACATAGCATTACCTACCTCACTGCGGCAGCTACTATTGCCGTTGGATTGAAAGTCCACATCCCTGGCCTCTCCAACAAGAATACCAATGAGGCACCACCTCGTTCCATTCTTGTTCTGGGTGGCAGCTCTGGTGTAGGTTCGAGCGCTATACAGCTCCTGCGCATCGCGCTACCGTCGGCTACTATAATAACAACCAGTTCGCCCACCCATCACGCACGGCTCAAATCCCTTGGGTCTCACATTACTCTCGAGCGATCCGCTCAACGGGACGCCGCTGTTTTGAAGGCAGCAACACCTGACGGAGCGGGTGTAGACGCTATCATTGACGCGGTTGGTGCCGGGAGCGCTGAGCCTGCTGTCTATGGTGCTTTGCGGGAAGATGGCCCGAAATTGTACTCCCTCGTAATTACACGTCCCGGGGTAGAGCTGCCGGAGGGCATCAATTCAACTTGTGAGTGACAGTCTATGGCCAAACTGGTATATATTACATGGTTTTCTATCACAAGCTAACCGCTAATGATAGTGGTGGGCGGCCAATCTATCCTTGACGAGAATCCAAACGCGATGAAATATCTCAGCAAATTACTAGATGAAAATAAGTATCAGTTGCCCCTAAAGGTCGAGGTTTTTGGTAAGGGCTTCCAGCCATTGAAACAGGCCTGGGGAAAATCATGAACGTCAGTGGAACAAAGCTCGTTGTAAGCTTGTAATAAAACCTCTCCACACAGCTATCAGCAGTTAAAGGCTATCAAGATAGATCCAGATAAACGCCTATTGAAGAAAATCAATGGCTTCAGTAGAATCACATTAGCTAAATGTAGTTCTTATGATCAAGATAGAGCAGCCCATGAATTGATGTTCAGGATTTGATACATCCAGCTTTCTTGAGAATCCATAGAAGTATATGAATTTCATCTACATTAGTGTGATTGGGAGCAATTTTGAACGACAAAACTAGGATGTGCCTTCCGATATTAGACCATACAGGGCAAGTCGCCCATTTCTATGTTCTCAGTTGCGGCCAGACCTGGTGGAAGGACTCGATGGCCCTTATTGCTGAATATGAGAGTCACTCAATACAATAGACTTCATAGCGGTTCTATTTTGGAGTTGTCGCCGCAACAGCTAACATGAAGGGCGCATAAACCACCACGGACATAAGCCCGGCACAGCCCATCGGGGACCTCGGGGATCCATCTACAAGGGTCGCGCCATGAGCCCGCACGAATCATGACCGAGACAAGTAGGCACAGACAGATTGATTTCTAATCGATGAGATAACGAGAAAAACATTCGTTTTTTGCTAATAGCATGACATCAGAGGTGATAGACCCCGGCAACTATACTCCTTGTCCTTCCTCTTTATTTATACAAATCATCAGACAATGCGTTCTTCACACGATCATATCAACATTAAGGTCCATTATCGCTAACCTCAACAGTTACCGACGCCATGGCACAAGTTGGTCTCACATCTCCTGTCCCTGCTATTCTTTGCGGCAAGACGCTCGAGGTCGGTGAGATTGTCGCACCATTAGTTAAGCCGGATATCGAAAGTCCGTATAGACCCGATATGCTCCGTCCTAAATGTTGACTTACTTATTTGGTTCCCAGTTATTCATTTCATCAACTCTTACGAGTATGCAAAAACACATATTGGCGAGCTCATTGGAGGTCAGGTCCCATCGGAACCCAGTGGCAATGATATCGGCACACACAACTACAGCCAGGCTCCCCGTGTAGTGTTTTTCGGAAGAGTGTTTGATCACGAACGTGTGGTTGAGCTCAACAAGCTCTTCCGCGGGAAAGGAAACGCCCCTGTGGCTTGGATTGCCGGCGATCCTGATACTAAATTTCCTGCCAATCCAGGACCAGACTATGCAGAAAAGGCGGCACAAAATGTTGTCAAGGCATTTTTAAAATGGAAGGATTCGGGCGCTAATAGTGAGGACATTGTGTATTATTAAATATACGGGAAGATAGCCTTAATAGTAATTCTTCTTGGTCCCTAAAAACACAGTGAAAGAGAACACAGTGAAAGAGAACACAGTGAAAGGTATTATTAAAATATAAGCCCCAGTGCCGCGGGAGGCTCGTTCATGCCAGTTCTGGGTCTTCAAGTAGTTTCTTTTCTAGTCTCTCCAACAGCTTATGAAAATTTAACTCCCAAGATCGACCTTACGATTCAACTACGTTCAGCATCGAGAGGAAACCGCTTCACCTGAGAGAAACTTGATTAGATGAGTGAAAATTCATGAAAATTTATTCCTTCAATATAGATCTAGCTGAAATAATTCAGCAAAAAGGAGAGAATAAGAAACAGATCGCTACCCAAGAAATGACAAGGACCGACAGATAATTTCGATTCAATCAACGCAATAATTTATGAATTACTCGTCCCAGAGTTCGACAGAAGAAGTAAAATAGAAAGTTGGCCAAACAGGACCCAAAAGTTCAGCCAGGGTATCATGGCCTATCATCCTTCTGTCATTAAAGAACTAGGAAGGGGTGACGACAATACGAGGTCCAGCCAAGGAAGGGTTCCAAGAGACAAGATCTCTGTCGTAAACACCGACTAGCTCAAAGGCTTCAACACTTCCAGGTGCTTTGCAGTCTGTCTTTTGGGTGAGATAGGAGCTGTAAGTAGCCTCCCATGTGGCCTCACCAGGCTTGGCCAGGTTGAGGCGGCCGAGGTTGATGTTGCGCTGGTTTCCGGGTCCCCATCCGGCAGTTGGGCCTGGAGCCGGCTGGAGGCTGGAGAACAAATCAAGCTTTGCACTTCCGTCAAGTGTTGCGGTGGAATCCAAGGAGAAGGCAAACTGGCACTTCTGACCAGAAACATAGGACGGATAAGTGAATGTCAGGAGAGCAGTGGTGTCTTGGCCACCATTAGTGGGAGCCTTTGCCACATCGCCAGTGTTGGTGGCGGAAATGGCGCCATTGCCAACATTGTATCTCCAGATGGCAGAAGGTTTGAACGATACTTCAGCCCGAGACTCGAGGGGCGCGCCCAACACTGAGCTCGCAGTCAAAAGGACAGCAGCAACGGCCTTGAACAGAGACATGGTGTATAGCGTCTAAAGCTTGAATTGATAGAAATTCTGAAACGGAAGCTTGAGAAGCTAATATGTGACAAGGTATCTAGTTGATGTTGTTGCTGGGTATTTGAGATGATTGGAGCCTATGTTGAAGTCTGAGAGGCATGAGGTTTTTATAATGGAATTCCGAGTGAGGAAGATGCCATCCTCTATCAAGATATCCAATTCCGGACATTATTTTCCACCGCTGTCAGCCGCATACATGGCTGAATAGCATCAATGCAAGCCGAGTCACTAGCTCCAAGCTGAGGCGAAGTTCTCTGAGGGAAACGAGAAACGAGAAACGATCATTGATACCTGAGTTACAACTGGTGATGTCTCTTGTTTCTATTCTTGGCAATTCCAGATGACGCCCTAGAGGGAATTAAACAAGGGAACCAATAGAAATGGTTCTGTCTAAAGTCAGCCTGTCGAGGCGCAGGATGACAACACGTCCAGTGAGGGATGCTCAGCTCCTCGGGGTAGCCAATGACATCAATGGAAAATCGGGGTCTAACGACGCCATGCCTCTAACACGAGCTTGAATAAGCGTAAAATGCAAATAGTTCACATAATGCTAACTTCTACTGAAGTTAAGGCGTTTTCCCCTCATTTACTCTGCTTTTGGATATGAGGCGTCGGTAGTACTTTCAAAGCCCACCAACGTCCCAGATATCAAGCAATTCGCTTCACTCTACCTCAGTAGATTAAAAGTTATAAGGCATATAATTTGACCTTATGTATAAATCTCAGTCACCAACAATGACCAAGGCCATTGCAGGGCATACTAAGTCTCTCAAACATGCTGGTGGCGTTCTTGCCTAGAGCAACAAAGAGGGCACTGCCACGGGGAGAGTGAGAATAGGCCACCAATGGGTCTATAATATTCTAGACGTGTCAGATCTGGGAGGTTATTTACGTAACGGCTGATATTGCATGCATTCATGTAAGACATTTGAGTTCAGCCCTAGAGATGCCGCAGTCCAGCTTCATGATGCCAGTACAAGTTAGGCTAGAAGATGTCACCTGGTCAGCCGACTCGATGCAGCAATGCCACCACGTAGTGTAATCTCATTGAATGGGGAGGTAGATTTTCCATGAATACGATGATCATATGATGCAAATGCATTTGCGCTACGGCGCATTATTGCCAAAGTCCCAAGCAAATCCTTCGTTCAGCAGCTGCTCCAAGCCACCAAAGCCCTCCAGACCCGGTAGATCGATCGCAAGGCTTTCCAACCAGCTCGATTCCTCTGGCTGTGGTTGAGAAGTCCCGGATGGCTCCCTCATATCAGACCCTGCACCAATAGGGTATATTTTCAGGATTTCATGCAGTTCTGAGGCACATTTCTGTTTCCGTTTCTGATGCAGCAAGATGAGTAGCGAGGCTGTTCGCAATGCCTCGACCGTGGCCTCGGTGTTGTACTTCGCGACAATAGTCTGCAAACAACGCATTGTCTCTTTGATCTGGGAAATTGATGCGCTTGTATCGATGACAAGTAGTATACAAATCACTTGGAAGGGAATGTTGGCCATATGGTGCCAGGGCGATCCAGTCTCCACCATGTTTTGCGCGGCTCGTACTCCCTTCCGAGCAAGAGCCAGAACCTGTTCCAGAATTTTACCGTACAGAACCATGTTCAAAGATTTAAGTCGGCGGCAAATGCAGAGCATGATATTGCATTGGGCCAAGACAGAAGGAGGCTCAGTATGAAGACGGTCCAAAACACTAGAAAGGGTGGCCTCAAGCTCTTGGGCATCAGTCACTTTTTCAGGGTCGAGAATGTCGCAGTAGGGAAGGAGTCCAAGGACCTCGTGTGTAAAGCTGCCCGGCCGGGTGCTGGGAAATATAGTAGTCATGTTATGTATCATCACCCTTGAACGCCCTGTATCGAAAGACATCCATACATTGAGGTGACGAGCAACACCAACTAAACCTCTCCGGATCTCCGGATCCACGTCTTCATCGAGAGTATGGAGCACCGAATCTTTAATCGGCTCACAATGCAAACCCGCAGCCTCCACTAGGTGCATCGTTATACAGCTAGCCATCCATGCTGAATGTGATGTACCGGTCATCCTAAGATAGGCCGTTCGAAGAACCCAGGCTGCTATGGTTGCGATGGAAGGCGCTTGGTTCATCTCTCGCTCGAGAATAATTTTTGCGGATTGGATCAGATCAAGCTCTGCTGCAGGGGGGTGGACATGTGAAAACAAGCATCCCAGAGCGGCCACGCCACAGAGGACCGCATCGTAAGGATGCTCGCTATCAGGGAGTCTCCATCTTGCGTTCATATGCTGTTCAAACTCTTGGCGCTTGATAAACCCATAACAAGGATCAACATCAGCAAAGTAAACTTTGGACAGGGCCACCATGTCAGCCTCGGACACAATATCGGTGATGAGCCGCGAGACTGGAGTCCCGGTAGACTCTCGCGCGCCCAAAAAGGCATTCCAGGCGAAGAGATGCATCCGAGGGGCATTTTTGGGGTCGATCCCGAGTGCCAGCTTACGGACGAAGGCAGCTCCCGAGTTTGCCTCGACGGTCAGCAGGTTGTTATGCGGTGAGCAGGAGTTGGATGTCGTGGACGGCGCCGACGCGGAGTTGCGAGGGGTGGACTGAGGGCCGGAGACAGAGTCTGGGGCCGGGATTGGAGCGGCAAGGACGGGATGATCGCCCCGTGCCAGATGCTTCCTCTTCCTCCTTGCGGAACTCTCTGCATAGGAACAATGGTATTCGAACCGTACGCAGGTCCCACAGGGACTGGCGCCATCACACTTCCGCTTCAGTTCACGACATGTCTCGCACGCGACTTTAGATCGTTTCCGGTGCTGTTCAACATACGCCATTTCAGACAACGGTGGTTAGAGAGGATTTAAAGGCGCTCGACGGTCTCAAGCCGGCAGGCGTATTGCAACCACGATCCAGGATCCAGACTGGAGCTTGGAGCCAAGACGGTGGGGTAAATACGCACCCAGAGATCGTCAGTTCAGACGACGGCGCAGGGTACGGGCGAATAAAATGACCGTCCGCTCGGCTAGCAGTAGGTACCAATCTAAAATGACCCTTTGATCCGAGTGCGCCGCAATGGCCCTGTCTGCATTCACGAGACAATGGTGGTCCGGAGAAGCGGTCGGGTAGAGCGGGAAGAACGGGATTTTTTTTGTGACGTAAAAGCCGGAAATCACGGGAAAAGCGGGTATCACGGCTTGTGTTGAGCAGGTTCGTTCTCGACATATAATATAGAGTTTCTGCATTCCAAACTAAGTCTTTCAAGGCGGTCATTAGGTGCATAATCATGTCCATTAAATGGTATCAGAAACACAATAATCATTGAATCCAGGTTCCTCCTTTAGTACCGTCCTCTCGGTTCCCTCTCCCATCTCCAAAATGGTTCGTGGCCTTCGGCTCGGGCGGTCTGACCCAGAGACTGAAAAGGCCACTACAGATCTCGAAAGTAATCAAGAAACTCTAGAGAACAGTCCAGAGAACAGCACAGCGGTCTCGAATGCTGTCCCCGATGGAGGTCTACGTGCCTGGGTTCAGGTTCTCTTGATGCACATTGTTTTCATGAATACCTGGGGAGTCGCAAATGGTTACGGGGTCTTCCAGGAGTACTATACACAACATCTACCCGAGTCACAATCGACCATTTCTTGGATCGGGAGTGTTCAAGTCTGCCTGCTCTTCCTAGTCGGCGTTGTCGCTGGCCGTATCACGGATGCTGGCTATTTCCGGATAGTCTTCACCGTCGGTGTCTTATTACAACTGCTTGGCATCTTTCTTGCCTCCCTCACCTCCAAATACTGGCAGATATTCCTCTCTCAAGCTCTTTGCGTAGGTCTGGGAAACGGGTTTGCCTTTGTACCTTCTTTGACCGTCATGGCGTCGTATTTCAAGCAGAACCGGGCCTTCGCTGTTGGTTTAGCTGCGGCGGGCGGTGGCACCGGGGGTCTGATATACCCCACGCTCATTAATCAGCTGGTCAATAACGATAGTATCGGCGGATATCCATGGACAATGCGCATCATGGGGTTCCTGATGTTGGCAACATACATTCCATGCGTCATATGGTTTGCGCCGAGATTACCAGCTCGACGAGGAGGGCAATTCATCGACACTGCTGCTTTCAAGGAGGTGCCGTTCATCTTGTTTGCGCTGAGCCAATTCACTTCGTTCTGGGGTCTGTATTTCGCCTTCTTCTTCATGGGAACATTCGCCCGTGATATCATCGGCATCGCCCAGCCAATAAACCTAGTCATGGTGCTGAATGGCTGCGGCATTGTCGGCCGTATTCTCCCCAACTTCCTAGCCGACAGGTGGACCGGCCCTCTTAACATGCTAATCCCTCTCAATCTGGGAGCAGCCATCCTGATTTACTGCTGGTCTGCCATCCGCACCGAGAGCGGCCTGTATGTCTTTGCTATCCTCTACGGCATCCTGGCGGCCGCCTTGCAAGCATTATATCCCGCCTTGGCGACGACTATGACGCCCGACCCCGACAAAACCGGGACCAGGGTCGGGATGATATTCAGCTTTGTCAGTATTTCCACCTTGACGGGACCCTTTATCAGTGGACAGCTCATCACGAGAAATGATGGGAACTATCTCTATGCCCAACTCTTTGCCGGTTCCTCTGTGCTGGTGGCTACGCTCCTTGCCCTGGCTCTAAGAACTTGCCGCGCGGGGTTGAAATTAAATGTAAAAGTATGATTGTATTCGGATATCAGGTAATGGAAAAAATAAAAGCGCATATAGATTCATGAAATTTCAAGCATGATAGAAAAGTTTATATTATAATTCAGTCACTTCGTCATTGAGTTTCAAGAAACTCAGTTGACCCATCCATTGGTTCGGACATGGACATGAATAATTCACGGGTGATTTATTAACTTTTCATGTATTGAGTGCTTTATTATGAATTGGGTGGTATCAAAATTAGAAATAATCCGTTCCTTCATCGTTCCAGTTCTGAGTTTGTGATGCTGAGATGGCTGCCCATGAGTATGAGCATGAGCATTACTACAATCCAACAATTTAGAAGACCATGCCCAGGGATCGGGTGTCCGTCAGCTTGATATTCTTAATCAGGAAGACAAAGGCCAAAGCCAAAACCATGATGGCTGTTCCAGCAATCAACATGTTCCTCTGGGCGTCCACGTACGCAGCAATGATGGCATCTCTGGTGGGGGTGCCAACAGCATAGCTCATCTGCACTTCGAGGTCTTCGTAGATCGAATCCAACATGGGGAGATCCTCCGCTGGGAGGTATTCCGCAAGCTTTTGAGGGAGGGTGTTGGTCCAGACAGCGCCGGAGACACTATTTCCAATGGCGCCACCAATGTTGCCGAAGAGACCCAGAAGGGCCAGCATGGCAGCGTAGTCCTCATGCTTGGAGGCAGCCATGACAGCAATCTGCTGACAGAGGATCATAACACCGCCAGCAATTCCGATGAACACTTCGCACATGACGATGAAGCCCACTCCACGGCCGGGGGTTCGGAAGTAGATCATCAATCCAGCAAAGAGAACATACAGAGGTACGGCAACAAGGAGGAGCCATCTGAAACGCTGGGTGACGCGCATGAGATAACCCGCCAGGATAAGGCAGATGGGGGAGACAAAGTCGAAGATGGAGGCAATGTAACCAGCTTCGGTGATAGAGACGTCAAAGACGACTCGCAGGTACGACGTGAAGTACATGGCCCAGCAGTAATAGCCGATCTGGTAGATCAGGTCTACCAAGCAGGCACCCATGACGGTGCGGTTGGCCAAAAGATGCCAAGGGATGAACGGCTTTGGCGAGAGGAATTTCTCGTAGAGCGCAAAGGCGAGGACCAGTACGCCACCGAGGACAATCATGGCAATGATGTAGTCTGTACGCCAGCTCTCGGGTTGCGAGGTAGCCAAGGTCATGGGGAGAAGCAGGAGGCAGAAACCTGCGATCAGAAGGAAAATACCAGCAGCTGTATTTAAATCAAATAGTCAGTCATTCGTCCGTCCTATTTCATGATGCAACGGGGTTAATAAAGTGGATTCTCTTACCGTCAAATTCGATCAGGTAGTATTTAATGGCCTCGGGAAGTGTTCGCTGCACGGAATCCTTCTCAACGACGTGGTTCTGAAGCGCCTTCTTCCTTGCAAATGACCAGGTGAGGATAATAGGAAGGGTCACAAGCGGCAGAAGAATAGTGATGGTTCCATAGGCCCATCTCCAGTCGGACTCGTGGAATCGCTCAGAGAGAGGGGATCCTGCGAATGCCGTGATGATGTATGGGGAGGAGGTGAATGCGAATGCCAAACCTCTGTTTCGAAGAGTCGAGGTATCGGCTGTGAGCACGTCGACTGAGAAGATCAATCCAGCAGATCCGACATTGTAAAATACTTGAGCAGCGCAGTACGTGGCAATGTCGTTGCACGCAGCATTGAGAATAAGGCCGATAACGGAGAGGACCAGCATAAAGCTGAAAGCAACGGTACGATCCCACAGGTTGAGGATCTTGGCGACCGGCATGGTGGTTGCAGCACTCATGATGCTTACCACCGTGCTGATAACGGTGAGCAAAGAGTGGCCCTCGAATGAACTCGTGATATATGGAGAGAGGTTCATTGTCAGACTAGACTGCAGAGCGCGCACAAAGTACGTCAACCACATGCTGGATCGAATTGTTAGTCACTGGGAAGGCGCTGGTTCTCGGTCGCGTAGACTACTTACCAGGCGTAGACAATGATGAGTGATGTCCTGGTCCATGACAGTGTGACGGCCTCAGCCATGCGCACACCCTGCTGGAGCTCCTCTGCTGCAGGCTTCTCAAGCCCTTCGACATCATGAGGAGGCTGGGCCTCGACGGCAGGAGTAATGCTCTTTTCGGTCATCGTCACTGTGAGAGGTTCCCTCTGAGCAATGAAGATGGAGATGAAGCCGATCTATGTGATGCCAAAAGGGGGGGCTCTGATACACGAGGGGAGGGGATAACCTCCTTTTATAAACAGTCAATCGCGAACAAGCCAGGCCCAGGCCTAAGAACGCGACACTGGCGAGCCGGTAACCGCTAGCAACTCCCAGCTAAATTGCTTAGTGCCGGGCTGAAGAAATCCCAGCCCAGCGGGTGGATATAAACGGCACGGATCATTCGTCCAAAGTGATCAGGCCACCTAAAAAGTTGCCAAATCTAATCATGCCATCTGATAAGATTCTCTTGCACAGAAACTCCACCCGATGCAAACCCTTCAGCGGCCAAGGGTTTCGGCATCTGAGGCGTCGACTAGTCTCTGCGAAGGCGTGGCAATGTGACCAGCGCTGGCCCTCGCACGAGCCGAGACTGGGCGAGGGATCCATCCCAGACCGTCCGGCGACAGGGATGAATGGCTGGGACAAACTCTGCGCTTCGGTATGCGGGCTTCTGGAGATCCGGCGTCCGATCAAATATCGAAATCCGCCCAGGGTCATCCACACCGGCCACGAGGAATTTAAGCCTGATGTGGTTATGGCCGTAGGTCTGAGGCACTTTCTGACACGGGAGACCCGCAGTTCCTCTTCTCTTCAATCTTTCTGTACCCAGTTTTCCGCTAATCAATCAAGGACGACACGTACTTTGCCTGTGGGAGGCGTGAGTCTAATGCTACGATGCCATTTCCGTGCGTGAACACTCTGCCGGAGACACTCGCTAGCCTCTAGCACATGGATCGCGAGGGCCCGCAGAGGGGAAATCGAGTTCATGACAGACAGTGTCGATCAATGCGTTCAGGCAGTACCCTTGCCCCAGATTCCCATGGCCCTTCTGCAGAATGCAAGCATGTGAGGCAGAGATAGATGCATTGCAACCCCAGCAAGGTTCCTTCCAAACATCTTCCCGAGGCCATCACGGTGGTCGTCAAAACATAGAAGAAAATAAAGAAAATAATAGCTACTGCACCTAGAAAAAACCTTCCCCTTGGTCAAATTAGTGGCGTGCTGTAACTAACCACTAGGCCAGTCTCGGGGTCCTGCTACGTAATGTCACGGGTCCGTGTCCGCGCCGCAGCCCACCCTTGAATATGGTTTTCAAACAGCACTTGGGCCTACATGCAATTCAGGGTGGTTAAACATCACGGCAGCTTACGGAAAGCTCCGCTGCCGCCTTTACCGGCATCCTGTCTTGGCTCGCATCCCTGCGGTGGAGACGGCATCGATTCTCGTTTTGATTGATATCTCCGGGTTGCTGGTGCATGGTCACATCTCCCAGGGCTGTTTCTTATTAGCCTTGTGCTTACGAGCGATACCGGCCAGTGTTAGGTTAGGCAGTACACAGCGTGGCTACTGGGAGACTATCTAGCGTGCGCAAAGTTTTTGCCTGCTCTTTCAATTGCCAACTGAAGTCACTCTTTGGTTCTCTAGCCAAGATATCTAGTTTCAAAAGGCTTGGCTATCGCTACCATGCACGTGAGCTCAACAGGGGGATACATATGAGGTCAAGAGATCTGGGTTACCCTATAACACACCACACCTCTGATCAAGAGCTTTTAATTGTGCGAGATTGCAGTGGAAATAAATGTTTAAAAACTCGATACTCTACTGAAAAACCGATCAGGCATTTTCTATATCTCTAGGGAGAGCGGAGAAACCGCCATTCTACTATGTTTAGAGGACACAGAGATACAGATGGTGTCAAGCCTTTCGTCGCTGAACAAGCCGCTGTGCTAGGTCATTCCCCTCATTCCGTTCATATCCCGACCTTATACTACCTGCAAGGAGCAATCATTTTATGTAATTCTACCTATTCACTAGGCTGTTATTTATTTATCGTGCTTTTCAATGGGTTTATGGCGGCTACACGTATATAACGGAATGGAGTTTTGAAACCAATTTCATTTTATTGCCACCCACCAAATAAGAAGCAATAAAACCAACAAAGTGCAGGAACCTAGCCATCTCGATACCATGTCATATTCCCCCAATTCTATTGTTCTGATAATATTAATACACATTAAGCTCTAGAGAATTTGCATGCTGATCGCGTGTTCCCAGATACCAACATGTATATATACTTTATTAAGAAGTGCTCGAACAAGGAGCTCATACGGCCTGATGAGTGGTATGATTGTCGCTTCGGGTGTTAAAATCCATCTCTTACAAAGAAGTTGTGACAGGTCCCGGGTCCGAATCCCGGTTAGGCCCATCATCTTTTTTTTCTTATTATATTACATTTTTTTACATCCCCCCCTCTTATATCTTTTCTTTTTTAAATCTAAAGCTACCTTAATATTGTTACGATAGGCTAGGGGCTATAGAAAGGGGGGGGCAGGCTAGAATCGCTTAGGGAGCCATCGCAAGTCTGGAAGACTGTTAACAGTGGGAGGAATTATTGGCATAACCCACCCCCCCGATTCATGCTTGCATGTGTTGATTTAGTCTAGTTATCAGTTAGACCACACGCTGTGATAGGGATAGGAAATGGTTGGAATTCTAAGGGTGATTGTGTTGCAGTCTGTCGGGGCTTTCCCTTTACATTTTGATCCTTTTCCTACTTAGCCCTCCTTGAACAATTCTGATATGCGTACTTATCGGGTTTCCGCGATCTCCAGCAAGGTAAATAAACTGGGCTTTGGTAGAGCGCTTTTCTATGCCACAGATCACACATTTTTTGGCCTTCTCCCGAGTAGGAACTGCCCACTCCCTTATTTTTCTCCTATACATACAGAAATGGCGGTGCACCTCTCACATCGAGCCTTTGATGGATCATTTGTGATACCCGGGGGTACTTGTAGTTCGCAATGTGTAGGCTTCCGGCCCCGATTGCCGCTTGTCTCAATGACTTTGTAAGTGACGTTTTCCCTGAGATACGCAAGAGGAACAATATTCGAGCCCTGATGCCGAATCTATCTTCAGCTCATCTGTTGCGATATGGTGAGGCTTCTTGCAACATTGATTACTACACCTCAGCATCATGTCTCTCCATACTTGTTGTTATCGTAGGTAAGTAAGTAGGTCGTAGCGAGATGCCGAGCACTTGAAGTATTAGTTTATAATACTGGAGACTATGTAGGCGCAAGAAATCCTCATTAGGGCGGCTCATTTTTTGAACAGGACCAACTATGATGGATTGCCTATGAAAGTGCGGCGCGTCTTCGCGGCGAATGAAGTCACCTCGGCAATTGGCGACGACGGCAATGATGTAATTCATCAACTCTCTGAAGATTCAAGCGATATCTAAGAAATTAAGCGGATTGGCCGAGGATTATAAATAGACAGAAGAGAATACGCAGTCGCTCAATATAGCCAATTTACAAAATGACATTTGATCCCATGTTGTATCGTGAAAAACCATCCATTGAGCATGCCTACCGCATAGATGTCAACGGTTGCAACCAAGCTGGTTCGCCCTGTAATGCGAGATGCGGGGCAAGCGAAGTGGTTGAAACTGTGTGAACATCTTCCCCTCTAAATTCCGAGGAGGGGCATTAATGGAGATACTTGTCGATGGAGGGTAGGATATAGGCACATGATGTGCACTTGATCCCATGTATTCTGACTCGACTTATGGGTCTGTGGCCTATTCGGGCATCTCGAATGCACAATGGCAAATTAAGAGTCCCTGGAAAACAAAAGCCGTGCTGCTTGCAGGTGCTCTGTCTGTGTCAGGTATGATGATGCTACTCAACTTCCCCGCACGAACCGAGGCATCCCAATCGTGGTAGAAGCGCCGAGCTCCAGTTTCTCTCCTGGGATTCGATAAACGTACGCCGTATTAACATTAAGCAAATACTGATTTCGAAAGGCTTTGACGTGTGAAACGTACCATTTCCAAGTTTGATCCTAACATAACCGTAAGACACGTCCCCTAACCATGCCGATCCAGTCACGATGGACAGTGCCAATTCCCGAGCAATCTTTGCAAAAATGGGTGTTTGGTTCATCTTTCGGCCCGTTGCCTGATCGTGTTACTTTCGTCGATGCGGATAACCCGGACACAAGATCACTGACCTTTTCCGAATATCGCCTTCTCGCTAAAAGAGTTGCTCTTGGACTGCAGAGGGCAGGCTTAGCCCAGGGAGATCGGGTACTGATGTTCAGCGGAAACACTCTATTCTTCCCCGCTGTGTTCATGGGCGTCCTCATGGCAGGAGGAATATTCACTGGGGCGAGCCCAGCATTCGGGTCAATGGAGTTCTCCCACCAGCTGATCAATAGCGGAGCTCGTTTTGTTATCGCAGGAAAGAGGAACGTTCCGGTGGCTCTCGATGCCATGGAAAGAAACGGGATCCCAAAGGCCAACTTGTATACCTTTGATGATGCGCTCAGCAGTGCAGGATACATAAGCCAGCTCGACATAGAGCACTGGTCGGCCCTGCTGGCCAACCCGGAGGAAGCAGAGAGGTTTGACTGGGTTGAGCCCTCTGACCCACGAACAAGCACTTGCTGTCTTAACTATAGCTCAGGGACCACCGGGTTGGCCAAGGGCGTGGAGATTTCTCACTATGCCTACATTGCCAACGGTGTGGCCTGCCACTTCCTCGAGCAGCAAACCCCCGAGAGTCGGGAGCTGCTGCAGAGATCCAAGAGTCTTTGTTTCCTGCCCCTGTACCACGCAGCCGGGCAGACCACCTTTGTCGCGAACCAGCCGAAGCTGGGAGTCACGACGTACATAATGCCCGAGTACAATTTCGAAAAACTTCTACAGCACATACAACGCTTCAAAATCACTTCCCTCAGCGCAGCCCCGCCCATTGTGCTGAACATTGCAAAGAGCCCTCTATCCGCAAAGTATGATCTGTCCAGCGTTCAAGACGTCACTTGTGGCACCGCGCCTCTAAGCCGGGAGGTCGCCGACGAGGCGGAGCAGAAGCTCTGGCCGCGTGGGGAGAATTTCGTCCGGCAAGGCTGGGGAATGACGGAGATCACATGTGCCGGTCTTCTCTGGAGTACTGAAGATACGCAGAAATCGATTTCTGTTGGCGAAGCCGTCCCCAATGGGCAGTTTAAGATAATGGATGGGGGAAGAGAGGTCACAGAACCCAACAAGGTAGGTGAGATCTGGTACTCTGGGCCGACTTTGATGAAAGGCTATTGGCGCAATCCGAAGGCCACGGCCGAGACAATTGTAGAGGAGAGTGGAGTTAGATGGATTAAGACCGGGGATCTTGCCCATGTGGATAGATACGCACCGGGGGCAAAGGTTTTCATTGTTGACCGAGTCAAAGAGCTTATTAAAGTACGGGGTTTCCAGGTTTCTCCTGCCGAGCTAGAGGGAGTTCTTCTTGACCGCAAAGACATAGTCGACGTTGGTGTGGTAGGCGTCTTGGTTAATGGCGAGGAAGTTCCTCGTGCCTATGTTGTTAAAGGGTCGCCTGTTTCAGAGATGGAGATCATGAAATGGCTGGAAGGGAGGGTAGCTAAATACAAATGGCTGAGAGGCGGAGTGGTATTTGTGGACAGTATCCCTAGGACTTTGGTTAGTACCTCGTCGCCAAGCAGCTTGAAATCGGATATAACTGACGTATCAATAGTCCGGAAAGATCTTACGCCGTTCTTTAAGGGAGATGGCGAAAGCTAGTGATAGCAAGATCAAGGCAAAGCTCTCATGATCAGCGGTTCTGGTCTTCAAGCCTCGATCGAGCTCACCTCAGATTATCAATTTGGAGCGTAGGCTGATCTTGGGAAATCACAGAGTTAGTGAGAAGTAAACAAATCGGTCTATAGTCAGCGGCCTTGGACTAGCAGAACTGGGACATTGCACTCTGATCTCGGTGTTGTGCACTTCCAACATTCCGGCCGTTGTTGTATTTGTTAAGTCGCGATCTTCTTCCATAACGTCACACAACGCAAGATAAATACTAGTACTCGGTCTATTTCTCGCTGGCTCAAGTTAAAAGACAAAAGAAAAACTCGTAGTGGTGACTTGGTTTTCAACCGGCTAGCTTCAAAGTGCTATCCGGCCCAAGCGACCAAGATATAAGTTGACCGATCAATGTTCTCCATTTAAACATGAGAGGCTCAAGATTTCACACAACGGCCGAGCATGAAAGAGAAAAAGCTAAGATGCCTTTCTTTGTGATTTTACATGAAGAGTGATGCACCGTCGTCATTTCTTTCCTCTTCAGAGTCATTACCACACCTCTGTACCAAGGAGGGGTGCCTCGATACCAAACAGAAGAGAAGCTTGTTTCATCAGAATATGCATTCACGTCTAGGGCATCGACTGCAGAGTAGTGAGGCTGGTGTTTGAATATACTCCAGCCCATGACTTCTGTGAAGAATGAAGAGATGTCTGTGGTTCGAGCCTTCATGCTAAACTCGCGCAATAGAAACCATCAAGAGATCTGATCTGACAGTAGTTTAGCTTCTTATCATCGAGAATTATGAGCCTTGATGCTGAATGAAAGAATCAATTCAAATGATTATGCTTGTGAGCGCGACTCTATTGGGGCATGAGCCTGCAGTTCCTAGATTTGCGATTGAACGGTCATGGCTGGCTGCGTACTGGCATAGGTATGGGCATGGCAATTCTCTATCCATGAACCAAGGGAGGGATAAGAAGACGAGAATCACATCGGGTCTGATAGCTATTTTCTCGGAGGAATTCACAATCGCTCACCTTCGTATCGATACAAAGCTGGTTCTTCTAGTTGGCTAAGAGGGTGGGGATTAGACTGTAGCTACATTGGGGAAGGGTTTTTCGGGCGAACTTGTGTGACAGACGAACTAGCCCCAAGCCTATTACCTCCTTGATTCAGGGGCGCGGATGGTTGTTGACCACAGAATTTGTACCAATCCATAAACCCACTTGCTGTTATGTGGCTGCTGGTTGTTGTGATGGCCTATCGTGTGGCATTCTTCCGTCCTTCCTTACCATCTCCATCATCACAGACATATCTCTAGGGTGCGCATTTGTTACTTCTACCGCCGGCGAGATAAAGAAGATTACACTTGCCAGCAGTTGACTGGATATCATCCAACGTAGCCACCCAACCCACATTTGCAAAGGCTTGGAATATTTCTAAAAACACGGCGCCGGTCATAGGAAACATGAGCGAACCTTAAATAGGTCAGTGGGCTGGCTTTGCGACAGGATAGGAAATATATGATGCCATCGAGAAGCTCTCTGTTATCAGTATTGCCCGTGCCTACGTACTTGACATCCCTGTCACCAAAAGTAAGCGCCTGGAGTTGAACATCTCTTGGCAAAAGTGCCTTGCAATCTCCTTTTATTATCCTTGGACGTGGCAAATTAGCCCCGATTGTGTTTTTCTACATCTCTCCGTAGACAGTGAGACTTGCCACAAAGTCAAGGCCAAAAGCATTTCCCAGTAATACGTTCCTTCGATCGAAGTGGTTCCAGCCAACTGGAACTATCTAATCTTTCAATCAGCCATTCATAATGGTCTGAAACCAAGAATGCGAGACTGTGCTAGCGAACCGCTATTTAAGTGCGAGTGGGGAGAGCCCAATCTGCCTCCACCAGTCCCCAACACTCGGGCTTCATTACCCAGTTGCCCTGAGCAAAGTGGATGGCGCGTCTGGAGTAAGAGTGGGCAATCTCCAGCAATAACGGCGAGCGAGGGCGAATCTCCCCGATCAGATTGCGGGGAGTGGATGGGGAAGTTTGGTTGCAATGATCAGTACATGTAGCCAGTCCAGCCAGCCACGTTCTACAATCCTGGTGTGATGCAGGGGATCGATATGCACAACACTCCCAAGGCAAATGCTAGATACAACAGGTTCTGTCGAGCCGATACCACTTATGGTAGCCGAGAATGAGTCTTCCACATCATCATCAATAGACTAAGTCCGCAGTAGGCAATTCGGCTCCTTTTGCCAATGATTGGTTGCCAAGCCAAAAGATCGTCAAGAAGACGCTAATTGCACCGGGGATGCTTAGGTTGCTTCTCCGCCAGGCGCTATTTGAGAAGAGCATCCGACCCAACATGGAGGAAGAGGTGCCTCCTGCTTGAAGGGCTGGCTTTGATCACTGGCCATGTCTACACATTTCTTCCCTTCTCATGGTCCCAAAAGA